TTACACACTTTAAAAGAGGCTGGTTTAGGTTTCATTAGTCAGCATGTAGTCAACAGCAGGAAATATATCTTACAAATGCCACCTGTCGAAAGATGCAGTCTAGAGAAATTATCATCTGCCTTTCAGTAGATAAGCTGTACTGGTTTTATTGTATCAGCTATATATTAAAGAGTCATTTAGTCCAATGTAAGATGGAGAGTAGATGAGATCTGTCTTGACACTGATGGTTCCCAGGAAATCACAATTTCTAGAGTTCTTGTGAATCCAATACAGGAACTGACTCTTACTGTTTTAAGTTGAAGTTTTTTAAAAATGGCACTTATTGCCACGTAGAAGGGCCTGTTCCTGCAAAATGTGAGCCAGTGATACTGACAATGGCTTGGACCAGTAGAAAAACAGAAAAGGGATGGGAGCAATAGCTCCCACTGCTGCTACTGGACTTGTTCCAGTACTGCAATGAACACAGCAGCATTACATGTTTGCACTAGAGGGCTTTCTGGATAAGAGAGAGAAATTGTTTTTTTAATCCAGGAAATATATTTCTGTGTATAATAAAAACTTCCATGGGATATGAGATATAAAATAAAGTCATATTTTTTTTAAGGCCAGCTGTTACAGGATATGAGCAAGGGGAATGGGCTCATTGCAACTTTTCACAGTAAATGGAAGCAAGTGTATTTCCTTCTGTTTGATAATTACTGGTATGTGATCAGGTTGCAGCGTTACGTTACCGTTCAGCCAGTCTGCTATCGTAGGAACTAACAGGAGCAGCACAGTTTACACTCCCTTGTAGCTGGGCAGCTTCCCTTCTGCTGGCTCACATACGTCCGACGCTGTAGTTCAGGGAGTGAAATCAGAAGTAAACTAACCCTACAAAAGTAGTCATCATTTCTCTTCCCATTTATTTTTCTGAAGTAGTTTATCAAAAGTCCAGAAATGAGATAGGTCAGTGTATTGGGTTTGTGTGGTGGAATTTTGGTAGTGGGGGAAGGGCTACAGAGGTGGTTCATGTGGGAAGCTGCTAGAAGCTTCCATAGCTCCAAGATGGACCAACTGCTGGCCAAGGTCAAGCCAATCAGTGACAGTGGTAGCACCTCTGTGATAACATATTTAAGAAAGGAAATAAAGAAATTGCTGGAAAACCTACAGCAGAGAAAGGAGTGGGGCATGAGAGAAACAACCATGAGGACACCAGGGTCAGTGAGGAAGGAGAGGGGGAGGTGTGCCGGAGCAGATATTCCCATGCAGCCCATGGTGAGACAGCAGGCTGAGCCCCTGCAGCCTATGGAGGTTAACAGTGGAGCAGATGCCCATCTGCAGCCTGTGGAGGACCCCAGACAGGAGCAGGGACCATGCCCAAAGCAGGCCATGACGCTGAGGCAGCCCACGCTGGAGCAGCCCATCGCTGGGAGGGCAGCAGCCCGCGGGAGGGATCCGTGCTGGGGCGGTTTGTGGGGAGCTGCAGCCCCACAGGAAGAACTCACATTAGAGAAGTTCATGGAGGATTGTCTGCTGTGAGAGGGACCCCACGCTGGAGCAAGGGAAGTGTGTGAGGAGTCCTGCCCCTGAGGAGGAAGAAGCAGGAGAGACAACATGTGACAAACTAACTGCAACCCCCATTCCCCATCCCCCTGCGCTGCTGGGGGGAGGAGGTAGAGGAAATCGTGAGTGAAGTCGAGCCCAGGAAGAAGGGAGGTGTGGGGGGAAGGTGTTTTTAAGATCTGGTTGGATGTCTCATTATCCTACTCTGATTTGACTGGTAACAAATTAAATTGATTTTTTTCCCCAAGTCGAGCCTGTTTTGCCCATGACCACAGTTGGCGAGTGAGCCCTCTTTGTCTCGACCCACGAGCCTTTCACTGTATTTTCTTTTCCCCATCCCACCACAGGGAAGGGGTGAGCGAGCGGCCCCATGATGCTCAGTTGCCAGCAGGGCCTAAACCACAAGAGTCAGGAACACTGCCCACAGAGCCCTGGACTAGACTTCTATGGCGATTACAGCTTAGTGAATACGCAGCTACTCATTCGGATGTGACAATTCAAGCATGCTACTCGGCTATAACTTGCTATCAAGGAAATGTATGCACTACTGCAGATAAAGGCATCCGTAATACTGCAGCAGCATCAGTTTGGTTTCCCGCACCAGACCCAGTGTGGGTGCAGCAAGTGAAAGTAAGTCCCTAAATAAGTGGAGGAAAACTGCTTTAATTTATGTGGCAACTTTAAATATTAGTTGCGGGTTTGTGCAGTGCACTAAACACAACTGAAAGTCTTTTGAAGAGACTGCTACAAAGCGTCTATCAGCACTTTTGCTGTATCTCAATGATATACTGATACAAGCTAATGTCACTGAAGAACTGGGACATTGATGCTCTGTGATAATGGTAAGAATGTACATATGAAATGAAAACCAAATAACTGCAGGTTGTCTCAAAACAGGGTGATTAGACTGGGCCCACAGTAAGCAAGACGGGAATTTCCTTCAACAAAAGAATGGAGGCTCTACAGAATTAGCTAAGTCTATAAGCAATCACATAGGGGATTTTTGCATTTGACTGTTATTTCGGTATGTTTACTTGTGCGTTGGTCAGTGTTGCAAAACTGTTGCATAGTTTGGGAGAGAACAAAAAATATTTCAGTGGTCAGCAGAATGAAATTAATACTTTTAGAGTTGGGAAAGTTTCTCATACCTTTTTTCAGGACTGACCTACCAGTGTTGAAAATACCTTGTGAAAAAGCAAAAGAAAAAAACTTTATTTTTGCAGCTGTAATAAGGACAGCAGTGTCTGGTAGCTCAGTAATGCAGAACTCTTCTCTAGAAAAGGCAGCAGCTCAGTGGAACACCTTCCAGTGCGTTACACATGCAGAGTGGTCCAGTCACTATTTGAGAGAGTGGGAAGAGCTGGTCTTAGGTGGAGCAGGAATTTTGTAACCAGAAGACACAATGTTTACCTGATATAGTATATTAGAAACAGGACTCTTAAAGATCAGCTTGGGAGTCAACCAGAAAAGCTATCAGCAATTTTCTCACTACACAAATGCAAACAGGCAGACCTGAACCAACGTATGGAACAGTTAGGGATTATTTGCATACATCACCATGAGCGGGAATGTCTTAATGGTAAGCATTTGGGCTAAGTTATCCAGGCTCCCTCTAAAACAAGTGTCCAAGCAGAATGAAATACGCTTGGGAAGTATCTGTCTCTCTGCAGTGGCTGTCATGGGAGCCTAGACTACTACCTTTCAATGAATATTTTATTTTCATACAGTCAATTAAAGTGACATGTCTGCTATGTTCACCACTCAAGCTTTCCTGTAAAGCAGCACCAAAGTGGTCAGGACCATGGCTGGTCACATTTCCTGTGGTATTTCCATCACTGCAGCCAACAACAGAAGACATATTGCAAGAGATTTAGTGTCTGTGCAGCTGAAACAAGATCTTATCGTTGAAAGCATCCAGCTTCAGTACAGCTATTGTTGCTACAAGACCTCATATGAACTTGTCATTGGAGGTGGTGTTTTGTCTTAGCTACACTTAGGCTTTCAGATCCTGCCATACCTGTATAATTGTAATTCATTTTCAGTCTGAGGTCATATTCAAAAAGTTGATCTTAAGACTTCGCTGCCACAAAAAGCACACTATACAAATCAACCTTTCCTACAGAAAAGATTTTTCCACTGGAGGAAAGTGAAGAGTGTAATGTTATGATGTTTTCTCTGCTGAATGGCTGAATGTCTTGCTTCTGGCTGCAGTCTGGAGGGTATTAAGGGAAAAGCAGATGTCTGAGTAGATCAGTGCTTCTATTTCATAGCCAAAGCAAGTAACTAAATGCTTCAGGAAAGCTGCCTTGCTGCCTCTGCATTAGAGTACTGCTTGGAATAAGAATATATCTAATAGATGTTCAGTCTACACAATGAAGCTTTGATATCAAAGGAGCCAAGCAGAATTTGTCTTCTTCAGGACACCTCAAAAACCTTGTGTTTCAACAGAGCAGATATGTCTCTTACACCATATTTGTCTCACGTAAATTGCTCTTTGAAAGTCTTGAAAGAAAAAAAAAACATTCAGATGGAAAATATTTTTTATTGATCAACTTTTTGTTCCAGACCCTCACTCCCCACTCATATTCCTGATCCCACATGAGCAATTCCACATGTTTTCAGGATTTACTATTAATCATCTTTTAGTTGACTTTATTTCCTTGTTACACAACAGAAAGTAAGGATGTTTGACAGGAGTATTCAGTGAAATAAAGGCCAAATGTTTGATAATCAGTACAGTGTGTAATACTATTCTCAACAATTGGGTATAAATACTGATATAATAGCAAAAAAAATACTTCAATTCTTTCTACTAAACTGTTCCCTTCTAGGCTGGATTTCCACATGACAGTTTTAAATAGCTATCAAACCAAAGACATGTACCTCCTCAGACAAATAGAAAAGCTATGTCCAAGTCAAATACAAATGCAAACACAGAAAGCATTTGTTAGATACATTTAAGTAATATGGTCTGTCATGGTGAGATCATCAGAATGGCATCAGAAAACAAAGGAAATTACAAAGAAGGATAATGTAACAAAGCTGAGAAAACTTCCTCCATTCTTCATTTCTCAGAAACTTTTGCTTATTGTTTAGAAACGAAGGTTACAAATAAAAAAATCTGAAATACTTGTTCTATAGCTACACAAGGTACTATGAAAGTACTCACTTATAGCATATTGGATATAAAATGTTTATTTAGAAGGAAAACGTGAACCTGATTGTCTAAATTATCTAAGACATTATTTGTTTTGAAATACTGGGAAATGAGGAATTATAATCCAGCTTCTTTTGGACATGTTAGAGTAGGCTTAACTTGCTAAGGTCTTCACTTACGAGAATAGTCTCACAGTAATTAGCAGAAACTACTAACATGAGAGATCACCAGCTAGACAAGATCTGCAAGTTAGTCTTGATGTTGAGAAGATACTAAGGACCTTGAAAATGCGTTGTTAAACTCAATGCAAGGAATGCACACTCTTCATTCTAGGGGAAAAACAGAAGAGGAAAGAAGATTTGTTTTTTTTCTCTGAAGCATGAGAGAGTTCATTGCATTCATGCATAACTGGGGCTAAATAACGAATCTAACAAGTCTACAGCTTGTGGAATTGACCGTCACAGTCCAAACAGCACTCCTATGAACAAATGAATAAAACCCCAAGATACTTTATTCTGGGTGGTATCTTCTGACCAGGGAAAAGCCAAAGACTGCCTCAAAGCAAAGATGGTAGTCCCTTCTCAACCACATAACTTCTGCAAGGCTGCATCTTTTTCCCATCTTTGAAGAAGGGCTTTTCAGAGTATCTCCACTTTCTCTGGAGTTCTAGCTTGCCTCTGAAAGGGTATCCTTAAAAGAAGAGTGTTTTTAAGAGCTCTGGGTCTACCGAATCATACATCCATGGGCTGCAATAATCACTGATTGGTATACGACCTACAAATAGGTGTTTGGCAAAGGGCTGTGGGAATGAAAAGAAGCACTGGAACAGCTGAGCAGACATGTCTAATGAGTGAGAGCACAGAGGGGACTGATCTGCCTGGAAATGTCAGGGAGAAAGCAGGGGGCGGGTGCTAATAACGGGAACATCATGCTTAGCAAATCTGAGATTGTTCCAGGGCTCTTGAAGGTTGTTCCACTGGTTGTCTCCCTTTGCCGAGTCCCTTTGGCAGCAAGGCAGCTACCTCTGACGCCACACTGCACTGTGGTGCAATAGAGAGAGGGGAAGAGGAAAGAGCGCACAGGAGCAAGAGATGTCTTCAGTGGGGACAAGGAAAGTGAAGAGATCAGAACCTGATACTCCTGCTGGCTAGCACAAAATTCACTCACATTGCTTCTGTTCTTTAGAGAAGCCAACGATACATTGTCAGGATTAATAACTACCAACTCTCAAAGATGTTTTAAACTATACACTGGACAGATACCTGTGTGCCATGGCCTTTGCTGGGTTTCCATCACCATATGTCTGACCACGAAAACCTGAAGAAACAAGTTCAGATGTAGGCTGCCATTTTGTTTTCGTTAAGATTCATATATTTATTCTCACATTAACTGATTTGGATTATTGTTTCATCAGAATAGATGTTTCTTTTTTAATAGGTAAAATAACGTAGCCAAAATGTTTGGCTACATTAAACAGAATGCAAAAAAGTCGCCAAAGAAAAAATAAAATTTAAACAGAACACAAAGTATTGCCTCTAAGTCAATGATATTAAATGCAAAAAAAAAAAATTCCGATTTCCATCCTCTGTAGAGCAAATAATTCCAAAGCACAGCTACTGATAGAAAAATGCAACGTGTTGAAGTATAATGCATTCTACGTGCCAGAGTAGCCTTCATGATGGTTGGCTACACAGATTTTTTTATAATAGATACTGTGATCACTGGAATCTTGGTTTTGAGTGACAAAATACATTTAATAACATCTTGGCTCTTTCTGACACACTGATGCTGCTTGGTAACAGTGACACTTAACAAAGTAATTTCTGTTTTACAAAGATGCATGCAGTAAACGGTTTCACTATTTTCACTACAACATTATAGGATTATTTATTATTTACTTTGACATTGTGTATAACCCAGATTATCATAAATTATGGACAAATCTTAGGTTTAATACTCCCTTCACCTTTATGTGGATTGTTTTTCTTAAAATCTTAGGTTCAAAAACAATAACATCCCAATGTAAGAATTATCACCCACAGCGACATCGTCTTTAAGAAACATTCATCGATCCCTGATTTTAAAAAGCTAGTGCTTCAGAGCATATCTTTGTTATAGAAAATAAGCATTTAAGAATACAAAAGTCCTTAGTAGTAATTCTATTACTGCTACATTAAAAATCTTACACATGACAAGCAGTTGATGGCTCCCGATGAGTTGTTAAGAACGTAGGAATTACCTAGTTCAGTGTCCCATCTCTGACACTGACTTGTACCATCTGCCTCAGAGGGAGGTTTCGGGAACCCCCTCCTGGTCAGCTGACAGAGATGGAATTATTCACCTGCTAATGTGGACTGCATTATCCCAGAAATATAAAGTCTGGCAGAATCCATGAAGCACAAGGTTAATATCCTCTATACAACAAACATTCTGATCATGTATTACAGTTCTGATGTTCTTGATATGTGCACAGTTTCTTGTGTGTTTTTCTGAATCTCCACAAATTCTTGATCAGAACAAAAACTTGTGTCAAAAAGTTCCACATTTAAATCAAATACTGTGCCCAAAAAGTTCTTTAGTCAGCTTTCGGTGTTCCACCATTTTCATTTAACACGCAGACCCGTTGTCTGCTACTCTAAGGTAGAGGGGAATTCCCAGACTGCCATCTCTGGAGCCTTTCATTGTTTTACATGCTTTCACCATACCCTTCACATTTGTTAAAAGGAAAATATGAATAAGGAAAATGCATCCAGACTACATGAATCACAACACTCTGATTATTTAATTGATTCACCCTGAGTGGGCTTGTTAGGAGTTTTCAAGTGGAGAAGAAACCTGAACTAGCATTACGCAAGTACTTGCACAAAGAACTACATTTAAACTGCAAATTCAAGCCCCCTCCTTTTTAGTACCAGGCTCCCAAATCTGAAGCTATAGTTAACTGACAGATATTTTTAGACAATGGAGAAAATCTGTCATGGGAATTGCTATGTTTACAATGAAATGGGAGGGGTGGTTTTTTGTATGGGTGGGTTTGGGGAGGTGTTTTTGGCAATGCTCAGATTGAGCCTTCTCTCAGCTTGACTCCTTTTAGACTTTTTAGTTCTAAACTAGTCAATTCGCTCCTGTGCTCTCCACTGTAAACCCCACAGCCTTCGTTCACTCTGAACACACTAACTTCTACAACACCTTACTTTCAGGGCTTGGAGATTTCAGAATATTCTGACTCCATGAGCATATCTGAATGTACCTCAAATCATAGTAATATCCTCACTATAGTTCTGCAGTGGAGGGAAGTACTAGTGTCCCATCTGCAGAGGTGGGGAGTTAACAGTAGGGCTGTGCCGCAATGACCACAATGACAGCGCTGTGTGCCTACTTGCCAAGGACTGTTTTTAACTAGTTACCTCCTGTACCAACAGCAAGGTGAATGTCGGCGTGGCATGCAGAACTTGGCACAGGATGGAAAATTCACCCAGGAAGCAGAGAGAACCGCCAGCCACACAAGTTGCCCTTGCAGTAGATAATTAAAAGCTAGTTGAGGTATATGAGTCCACTGTCTATAAAGGAGGCTGAGCATATCTGGCTCACATGCAGATTTCCACATCCACTGTCAGGTGAATCCCACCTCAGTTTCCCAGTGAAAACACACTTCACTTGAGATGCTTTCTTCTATACAGTCAAGACCTAATTCTTCTTTTATCATTCATACTTACCACAGTGGATATCACAGATCTGCAGTGGAACTGAATAATCTACATCTGTCCTCCAGCCCTTTTAAAAGAAAGAATTGGGTCTTATTCCCCTTTCAGCAGAACTGTTACTGAACACTTGTGTTGACAAAATGAGGTTGCTTTATTAGTTTAATCAAATGTTGGCATTTTTTAATCTGTTTTTAAATTAATGCATATGGAGACTGCTGGCCTAGTGTATATTTAATGAGTTGTGAGTTGCAATCACTTTTAGGTTTCTGAATGAATGTGAATCAGATTGGGGGGGGGGGGGGGGAGGAGAACTGTATTCTGACAGATAATTACTTGTTTACAAAACAAATTATGCAGGAAAAGATCCATTTTACCACCAAATCTGATTTTTCATGAGGGAAAGAAGAACTCTCATTACCCAGAAAGCTCTTGCCAATCTCACTTTCATCTTGCCTGTTTCTTCCTAGCAGCAGAAAGTGATGCTGACAAGGGCCTTCCAGGGCAGCTGCTGGAGCCTCACAGCTCCAGCTGTCAGTCTCTCTCAACCTGGTGTCCGCTGAGAATGTTAAATCTAGAGAGGAATAAACCTATCGGCTTCGTGCTCATTTCCTATTAATGTTGTCCTAATAAAGTTCAGCTACGGAAATAGCGTGCAAAAATGTCAGAAATAATTTACTGAGCTCTGCTTGCAGGAGTGCTTAATTCTAGCATACTATGCACTTCCTGTGCTGTTTGCTGTATGCCTAACCTTTTCCAGCTAATGTCAATTTTTGAAAAATTGATCTGTGATTTACTTGGATCTTTTGATACCATGGAACTTTTTATTACAAAGGAACATATAAAGTGAAGATTAACAATTCCCTGATGATATCCCTTTATCTACAACTGACAAAGACACAAGATCATAGAGAGCAACTTCTCTGTTAATTAATGTCATCTCAACAAGAGGTGGTGGCAGCACATCAAGCTAATAATGCTCTTTGCCAACTCCATTTGCACAGTAATCAGATTTGGCTGGGAGGAGAAAGCAGTGAGAGTGCCTGCTGGTTTTCTTTTATTATTTTTTTTTTCATGATTTGTTTATTTTGTTCAGAGTACCTGGCAAAATCAAGACACATACCTGAATGCAAATTGTTGACTCACACATTTCCCGTGACATAGGGATTGATACAGAATCTCCCTAATGAAAAGGAAAAAATTGAAAACTATTATTTTCTATGCCCTGGAACAATGGAAATGTAATTTGTCTCTCCAGCTTTTTGGTTCATTTGCCAATAATGCTATGTGTTCTACTGTCTCAGAAAATTAATAAAGTATACATTCATTATGGAAGGTTAATTATTTACAGAGGTATCCCCGGATCTCAATGACCATAAGCAGCTGGTGTAGTTTCACCAAGCACAATTTGGGCAGCACAGGAAGAGGGCTAATGTGCCTGCATTTTATGAGAGAACATAAGGCAGGACACCCTCCCTGTCATGGCTGCTCACACCACGTTGGCCCATGAGCATCTTCACTTCTTTTCCCTGGTGTACATGAGTTGAAGCAATGACCCTTTCTTTACTGTTCTTCTGGATTTCCCACCACATTGTATGCTGAAAACAAGTTCAGCCTTAGGGTAAAATTGCCCTAAATTACTGTTCTGACACTTAACATTGGATTGTTTATGATCTGTCCTCAAAATAATGTTAGTTACTCCACTGATAGCTATGAATCCTACACCACTCTCTTTAGTGTGGCAAACTCCTAAAATAATTTGGGGCAAATTAGCTGAATATGTTATTTTTTGAGCACGACTGAACAGGGGTTACTAGGCAGAGAATGAACATGATTTCTGGGAACACAGAGCTAAGTCTTGGTGAAAATTTTGTGTATATTGCTCATGGTGTTCAGACAGGAACATTTATGTGGGCTCCCATTCTGTCACAGTAGAAGAGGACATAGCAGCTTTGTACCACAGGGAAGAAAACAGCATTTTTAAATGCATCAGTGCCCTTCGTGAAACACACACTTCAACATCTAGCTGTGATTTATTGGCACTCCACCATTACCCTTCTCACTTAGCAATTCACATAGGGGCCCTTTAAAACCAGAAAGTCTAAACTCCACAAGTTCCATGTGAAATAAGCCAGTTGAAATCAAATGTTCACTGAACATAGTGTAATGTTCTCCATCTCTGTCAGTAATACAGCATTTCCCCAGCTATCTTGCCCCATTAGGAGAGACTCTTGATAATGCCACCAATGCCCTCTGTGGTCTGTGTTGATTAGGATAGCTGTTTTTTCTCAGGCCTTTCCCCATAATTATTCAGCTCTGGGATCTCCTGCAGGAGCAGTTTTCATGTTCCACTTAAGCATGTCCTCAGCTTGAGCAGCAAAGCTGAGTTGGGAAACTCCACTTTTAACAGCTGCCCTGTTACATTCAGCACAAAAGGTGTAATAAAGACCTAAACTGATGCATTAGAAAATAAATTCACCTTCCAATGCCCGCCCCTTTAAGTTTAAGAAGTCCTTATTCACAGCTGCCTGCTTGTCAGCTACCCCCTGGTATGTGCACTCTGCACACTGAAAGCATCAGAGGTACTTGAAAAAGTCACAATTGCAGCATGTAGCTGCATACAGTGGCAAAGAAAGAAGCACAGCTGGAATATATCCTAAAGAGAGGACAGGTTTAGGTGCTACGGCATGCTTGTGTCTTCTAAAGCACATCCCCCTACAGCAGAGTGAAGTCAATGGGCGCAGTCAGGAATAAGAGTAGAAATCACAACATCTGGATTTCTCAGCTTTCTCAAAATCCATCATATGACATATACCTGGTCAGTGGAGCAGAAAGCAGGAGCACAAATTTAGGGGTGGACATAAGACTACTAAGGAGCTGGCAAACATGATGCCTTGCAACATGGTGGTCCTAGTAGCTCCTAGGACCTATCCTGCTAATATTCTCCCATTTGAAAAATAATGCTATGGCCACTCTTCTGCTCTTTGACCCACTTTCCAGATGTACCTCTCAGAAGATCACAGGTCAGGCCAAGGTAACTCTGGTAACTCAGGGTTGAAGGGCAAGGGCAAGCCAACAGTCCTGCACTGAAAATGTATGAGATACAGGCTTCATTGCAAAAGAGGAATGAGGCTCCCATTTCATGACTAGCTGCTGCCTGAAACAGAAATCTCACCCTCTGATAGTCTTTTCCCTCTCTCCCCCGCTTTGCTGGAAGAAGCAGTTTTGTAGTCACGCAGTCAGCCAGCTCAAAAGCTAATTTGGCTGAAAACCTACCTTTTTTGCGTGTTGAGTTTGTTTTGGCAGCTGTTAGATTTAGTGTGGCTCAAGATCATCATGGATTTATGCCTCAAGTCTTACATTTCATGATGTGAGATTTGCCAGGTCAGCTGTATCAGTGACCCAGATATGAAATACTAACACGAACATTTGCTATATATATAAAATAGAAACACTACACCACAAAAATGATTTTAAAAGAATATTAAGGTTCCACTCAATAGTCACTTCCTTTAATGTGACTCATTTGACTTCAGAATCCTTATTTATTTCTTGCTTCAGTGTGAGATCACAATTAGAACTACATGCTTTTAAAGTGTGCCAGTAATTGTTCCAATATGTACATGCATGGGTGTATTAATGCTTTCAAGCTGCACAGTGATAAATGGAATAATAAATGAATGCAGTTAGATATGTTTAAAAGTCTTACAATGTTTAAGAAATAATATATACAAACCACAGAGACTGAATGGTGCATCCCAACAGATTCACATGAGGTCAGCTGCGTCCTGTTACACACAAGCACTGAGAACTGTGCCTTGGTTTGAGATGTGAAGAAAACTTGTATTTGTTCTGTGACTGCAGCAGTTCTCATTTTCCAAGCTGATATTAGGGGAAAAGATGTACTTTTAAATGTACAAGGACCGTATATTATATTCTAAATTGTTATATTTAAAATAAATTCCTTTTTAATTAGTTAATACCATCAAATGATATGCAAGTAATTATATTGATTCCCACAAGTTACTTTTTATACCAATAAACGATCTACTGGGGATACATAGAAATAGCAAGCTGACAAATCTCTTTGCTATAATTTGCAAGCTACAGTGATATGAATACATCTCACTTGTTTACTGGAGAAGGCTCATATCTAGTGACTGATTTAAATATTTTTCACAATTTAATATTATGTAATTTAAAAAAATGTATTTACCTGGAAATTCTCCATGAGCAAATGGACATTTAACCCAAGAGCCTTGCTTGGTTGTAAACTGAAAGCAGAGAAATCTGTTAGGAAAACTGATTTTTCAGGTTCAATCTGTGGCTACAAATGATCAGTGCATTTCAGAAAGTTGCAGAAGGTGAATTCACGGCTTTCCTGGTCTATGATATCTTCCGACCCTTGATTTAAATTAGGTCCCCCAATTTCCAGATATTTATTCACATGCTTATTTTACAGAAACATATAGTTCCACTGACTTAAAAGTAATCTAAAAGAAAACATGCCTATATTAACCTTATGTAGCATTCTTTTATCAACAAGAATAATAAAGGTACTCCAGTAAAGATAGCGTATCGATCATTTTTATTACCAAATATTTAACACGGAAAACTTTACATGTTAAGTTTAGTGCATGCTTCAGAGTTTGCATTGACCTAAAACTTTTTTTTCCCTGCTTTTCTTAAGCACAGAAAACAGAGGGCACCTGTGTCCTATTAATCATTGCTGCTGCACTTCCAAAGAGCCCCCTTTTAATCTAATCTTTCACATTTCCTTCATTCTTACTTCCCATTCATCAGACCTATGAAACAAAATACTGTTCCTAAAGAATTAGAGCTGGCAGAAAGAGGACAGTTAATAAGTGTTTTACAAAGAAATCCCTTTACCTTCATGCAAAGTCTTGGGTGAGTGTCCACACGAGAATATTTAACCTGCTTGAAAAGACAGTACTCAGCATCAGCTAATTTCATTAACTAGTTTCACAAAGTCAGTTGCCTAAAATTTTCATGGTTTGATTACTGAGAAGGGAACTGGTTTGTCTACTTTATAAACATCCCAGGAAGTCAATCGCATAAAATAGTAAAAATAGAAACAACCTCTACTTTAGAGTTCTGAATAATTTGTTGCTTTTTAACTGTAACATGTAAAATTTTTTATAGTCAGTCTGACCCATTAGAGCTAAATTAATTGATTCTATGGTGGCTTGTGTGCAAAATTCTGATTACACAGTCGTCTTGTTTCAGTTCCTTATTTAACATTCATCAACGACTCAACAGAACATTTAAACATACACCCAGAAGTGTTGTTCCACCTTCAGTTCATAAATTTTTCAATTTTCCATGTCCCTATTCCAGAAAAGACTTAAACATAGACTGAATTTTAGACATCCACTTAAGTGATCTACAAAATGTTGCTTTCTTGATGAAAAACTGTTTACCTGCCAACACGGCTTCACCATAAAAAGCCTTTTCTCATATAAACAATTACTACCCATGTAAGTGATCTTACTTAAATAAACGCTGTTGCTCAAGTGACTGAGCACAACAGACCCTACACACAACACAGGACACCATGACCAAACACCTCTTTCCTGTAACTTTTTTGAGAAGAACTTAATGGATGTCCTCAGGCTCATCTACAATAGGGTCATAGAAAATAGTTCTGTAAGGGTCCACTCAAATACGGAGACAGCATTGCCAGTGACAGAGAAAGCCCCAGCCTAATTAGCAAGAAGTGTTACGTAGCTTTGGGGCCTAAGCTGGTACATGTGCATGGTATGAGAGTGTGTGGCATTGTGTGGATTTACTGGGAGAGCTGGCACTATGTGAAGAATCTCTGCAGTACCCTGCAGCACACTACAGAGATGTTCTTCAGGGCTACAGTACAAGAAGTAGACCAAATTCAATATCAAACTTTTAGGATGAATTAGAAAAAAAGGGAAAATTCATCCAGTCAATGAATATTAATAAATACAGGAAAACGTTCATCATCTGTAATAAACTAATCTTAGACTGTGTTCTCTGTGATAGATATGACCATTACCAGCCAAACCTCAGTTTAGACTTCTTTGTTTTTCTTTCTTTTTTTTTTTTTTCTTTCCTTTTCCTTTCCTGCAAGCAATGAGTTGTGCTTGTTTTCAGCAGATGATGAGTCCTGTAGGGACAACTCATATGTATAAAATTAAATATATTTGCTTTTGCAAGATCAAAGCTTTGTAGAAACTCATAAAATGGTGAATCCGAACAATCACTAAACACTTGGCCAGGAGTTCCTAATCAAAAAAGCATTCAATAGTCTTGAGACAGCCCCTCCCAGATCACGTCATCAGGATAATACAGTTTCAAAAATTAAGAATTTGCATTTGATTTTATTTGCCTTTTCAGTTGTTACCTCAAGTTTACTGGCTTCTCTTCACAATCAGGAAACCCTAAAACCTACTTTTCAGGATGAAAGCCAGAATTCTAACCAACCATCTTAAATCCAGTGCATTCAGCATCATGAGACTTCAGATTGAAGTATCAAGCAGTTCAAGACACGTGCAATGAAAAGTCTTTTCAACTTTAGAACATAAATGCTGGAAGAACTGAGGATCCCTATATTTCAACACCCCCAATTTCAAGACATTGGACCAATTTGAGATAGGCATTTCAAAGAGATCTGAATATAGTACGAAACAATCATGTCCTACCAAGGTACTGTTACGTCTCCAGTAAGATTTAAAGAGATTTAGTTTCATCTTACATTTTAGGTGTCTAAATGTTAAATATCCAAATGTGATCTAACCACAATAGACTCTTGTCATAGTTAGTGAAGAGAGTTACCTTCACAGAGAAATCCTTCCAACCTTTCTTATATGCCTATCCTCAGATGAGAACTGCTGTCCTCTCAATATGTGTTTCAATTACTCACTTTAAAGGGAATCTGAGACGAATAGCCTAGACTTGAACACCTATCTTTTAGACAGCAAAGTGAGAACAGATGAATCATGCCTTTACTATAAATGAGAAACTGACCCTATTTACACTGAAGGATTTAGCAAACATTGCTAGCTTCACAGTCATCTCCACTTTTTATTTCTTAATAGTGAGTCAGTCAATATGAGCTCTTCAAATAAATCATGTGGTTAGTGTACAAGAACAGACCATGATTATGAATGGCTTTAAGTATCAGAGAAGAGAGGAATTTGCAACCGCTCTCATTCCAAAGTCAAGCTTTTCACATTATGCCTCTGGTCATGGCCTTCAATCTCACAGTTTGAATAAATCTGCATAGCTCTTACTTTCTCAGGAGAATTTTTGAAAGAGTTTTGTATATCTTCACAGTGGTCATTAGACTTCATTAACCTGCATAGGTTAACCATGACAAGCACAGGACAGGCTGGCTCCCAAGCTAGGGTTTGTGTCGCGGGGTTGTAAACAATATTATCCCATAGCACCTTCGTATCTGTGCACAAAGAGTGGAAACGTTATTCAAGATGTGTAAAAATTAATCAAAATTGTTCATAAATCTGGTACTGATACATGTGCTTAAAACCAAAAGCATTACTTTTCAATTTCCTTGTCATTTCCACCAATCAGAACTGCAGTGTTTCACACTGTAACAGTGTAAAACTTGAATTCATCCCACCAAAATGTTGGCATTTACCAGAGGTACTCAGCCTGAATGCTTAGTCTTACCAGTCTCCCACTGTGGTGAGAGATAAGCATCACCATAATTAGAGAATATTTAACTTGACTGCAAAGTCCTGGGTCCCAACAGTTCTGACTGTTTTCACAGCTACTTTTTGAATGTTGTAGGAGTCTGTCATAATGTAGATCTAATGTAAGTGTAATTCTAATAGTTATGAGAATAGCACCGCAATTAAGACTTACTAGGGTTGTTTGCAGGCCTGCTTATTGACTTATTACCTGAGTTTCCTTCTGGTTTACTCATTTGTGGCATCTACTTATTTACATCATAATCAAGATGCTCATTCATCTCCAGCCTCATATAATTACATTGTTTAGTAACCAATAGATATTTTTTCCCTTTTTTTCTTCTCTTAGTTACACTATCCCAAAAGAGTTATTACATAGAGGAGCTTATTTCTGATACACAACTGTGAATTACCTCCTACCACAGAACTGAATCTATAATCCCAACTTTATGACATCAGTGATAAATGAGCCAAAAAAAGAACCAATCTACTTTAGATATTCCAGCAAACAGACCTGTCAGTTAGGAAAAACAAAGATTTAAAAAGAAAACAATGTGGCTCGAAAGCTGGAACTCCTTATATACTTAAACTAGCTGGGTGCTAGAGTCTGAAGAATTGCTTGGGATTCCTGTAAGGAAGATAGCCGAGTAAATGAAAAGTTTAGCTATTAAACAGTATTTCCTATATTCACTTCCTTATCAAAGCTGCAAGTTAAGTTTTCAATTGCAATTATGCATTGGAACTTCCTAAATAACAGAAAATAAGCTTCAAGTGCAGTGTGCCAAAGCACATACTGCCTTTCCTCTGACTGCCTGAGCTTTGTAACCTATGCTTCAGGTATCCCCATAGTCCTGATTCAATGGCATCAGCAAGGAGAACAACTGCAGTAGGGGAAGGAAAAGAAGCAGAATACGTATGTACATATGTACATACGGAAGGCAGGCAGGCAGGAAGGAAGGAAGGCAGGAAGGCAGGCAGGAAGAAAGGCAGGAAGGAAGGAAGGAAGGAAGCCCAATTTCCTGCCCTTGCAAAGCTTAATCATTCCAAGCACAGGAAATATGTAGAGACAAGAGAAAATTTGGAAGAAAACAACCTGTGCCCCATGAGACCCAGCCTCAAGCTGAACAGCTACTAAGAATAGAGGTTAATACTTCATACTGCAGCTGGCCAACAGGCTTTGCTCTGATGACCAGAGCTGACTACATGATATAGACATATCTACAGACAGAGCTTGAGCGTTCCTGTAAGTGCTCTCTATTGGATAAATAGAGAAAAAAAAAAAAACAAATTCCCTTTTCATTTAGTCAAACTGCACTCCATTGCTACAGAGGAATGGTAATGTCACAAACATTATATTCTGCCACAATAAAATAAATCAGAAATGAAGGCTGGGCTAACTAAAGAGGAAATTGCTTCCACTTTAACACAAATGTACTGGCCCTGCAAGAATGTGGAAAGATTGCAGTGAATGTCAGTGCAGTTTAATGGAGTTTGGATACACTGTTGTGGGTTGGTGGTTTTATTCTCTCTCATGTTTTTGGTTTTTGTTTAAATCAAATACTAAAATCCCTTAATGGGCTTCTTAGCATAGTCTGGGGAAAAAATATTGTTGTAATTATGTTGGACTTAAAACAATAAACTTTTTCAGGCTACGCTTTTTTCTATCTGCCTGGTAAAACTTTCATTAAAGACCTACATAATATGTCAAATTCTTTTTCAGCTGTCATCTCAGACCAAACTGACTTGCTGGAACACTTTGTGTGAATTATTTCCCATTAAGTATGGGAACTCCCGTATGCAGTTAACCGTCTTCTTTTTCAACTCCCTGTTCCCTCCTTTAAGTTGTGTGTCGGACATCTTCTTCAAATCTCTCTTTGAAGCCCTCTTCTCACATCAGCATTTCAAAGCTGACCTCAGTGGATTTTCTTCCTTCTGGGCAGTTTGTGTGCAACTTAAGAAAATGTGGGAAATTACTAGAAAGCTACTTAGTGTTTATATTGGTGTAAACTTGGTGAACAATTTTGTCTGAAAGTAAGTTATTTTGTCTACCCACAGTATAACAAACCAATATGACAATTTCCTTGAAGTTTTGCAATGTATGGTTTTCAGCTTAGATGAATTTCAAATTGTGACATACTACTGGAGATGCTGAAAGTCAATCACATAAAGAGTAATCACACAATACTTGCCATTTTCAAAGGGACAAAGTTGTATCCTCCTTGCATCTGGAATTGCCAGCCAACCCTACAACCCAAAAAGTGGCCATTAGCTAGAGATTCTCAGATAGATCAGTTTTTAACATTTCAGACAGAATGCGACAGAAAAACTTTCCACCAAAGATAGAGATGCTATGTTTATTAGAAAGCTTTGGAAGTGCTTTTTTAAAGGATGTTCTGCACTAGATATCTATTTTATTGTTCATCATTAGGGGGACTGGAGCTGACGAACTAAGGTGATCCTTTCTAGCACTATATTCCTACTATTTCCGAGTCCTATATTTAGCCCAATTTCATTTAGAAAGTATTCCAGTTTGATTTTCATCAAGTTTCTCACAGTGTCATTACCTTCTGGGGTATCAAAAGACATTCAAGAATTATAGTATCAGATCTCTTGGCCTTTGTTGTGGTAAAGGATGTATCCTTAAAATCTGAGGACTAAAACTTAATCCAATCTGCAAGTATAGGTGCATGGATGTTACTATACTCTAATTATTTAGATTCATGTGCAAATGTTTCTATTACTCACGGTTCCCAACTCAGCAATCGCATTATGGAATTCTCTGTGTGTATGCTGAGAGGAATAATATCTTTCCAGTGACCTCATACCTTTGAGAATCGCATAAAAAAGAGGCCCTAGAGACCTTGTTGTTCAACTCACATATTAAAGTGTGTGATTTTAGGTGCCTACAATGTACACATCTGAGTGTGACTTCAGTGCCCAAATTACTATTACAGTAGCCATATGAAAATCTAGCCAATGCAGCCAGTAGAGTCTACAGAGCTACCTAGCACATCCCAAAATAGCCATCTACACTTGGTCAGTTGAGTAACTGACTACATTAACTACATCGCCATTGACTATAAGTCTGGACATCAAATTCAAATATAGAGATCTACGTCTGGATGTCTACATCTAGGTATCTTAATCCACAAGGTAAATTATCCCCCAAAATTCACTGAGAAACTATGTCACATAGTATCTTTATATCTTACCAAGATCATTTTTAATTGGTTTGGTCTCTTTTTATTCCTTTTTATGAAATACATTGCAAAATCTCACTTCTTAGATTACCAGAAAAAAATCTGTAGCTATCCTGAATATATTCATGGTATGAAGTTTATCCCCTTCATTCTTGCGGCAAGAATGGCTTCAGCTTAAAAAATCTGTTCTTTTTCGTTATAAGAGACCCTTCTGATGTGTATTTAGAAAAAAACCACATTTTCTCTTTGCATGTGTTTTACCAGGCTAATGAAAACATGTTGTTTGAATCTCCTTTATAAGACAGTCTCTCCATTTCCCAACCATTCTAGATTTTTTTATGTACATCTTCCTTTTGAATTAATCTTTCTTGAATATGGATACAAGAATTGCCTACAGTATTTCAAAGAAGACCTGGCCCATACTTTCCTGTTAGCTTGGAATAATCTAACCCATTAGATCTCTGTTCACGTTTACATCATGTAAGCATGTTAGTTTAATCATCCTGTGATGAACTATTACAGCCAGATCTTTTTTCCTCCACTGTTATTTCTGACTGAGGACTCGCATCTTACAGCAAGAATCCTCTTTATTACAGCAAGTGCATGAACTTGCATTTCATCCTCCTTTAGTTATTTCACATATGAAGATCTCTAGTCTCTTCCGGTTATCCTGACCCTCTTTCATTTTGATTACACCTCTCAACTGTATTATCAACAAAACTCATTAACACATTCCCACCATTTGTGCCCATGTCATTGATAAAAACATTTTTATAAGAACCTGCTCTAAGTGTGGTCCTTAAATAACCTTCCCACTAGCACAGCCCTATTCAACAGGAGTAGTTGAGTTAGCCCTCCAGCTAGGTATTATCTACTACACAAATCTTGTTCTCACCCCCAGCTTCCTCAGTTCCTCTTTTAGTTTCTCATGCAATACTATATGAAATGCTATGCTGAAATTCAGTCAGATTAAATTTTCCGTCTTTCCATTGCTTATAAAAAATCAATCAAACTAACCTTACACAATACTTTCCATAAATTAGTGTAAATTATATCCCATTTTCTTCTTATCTCCATGTTTTAATTAGTGTTTCCTAAAAAATCTCTTCTACATTTACATAATCACAAGATCAGACAAGCCTCAGTCGAAAACTTAGTTCTAGAGTCTTTTTCTACAGACTTTTCCTCCTTTCTTAGCACAAAACCCAGAATTTCTTTAACCAGAAACACAACTATATACCACATTCCAGACTGTATTACCTCAATGCAAAGACAAGGGAGTAGCTGAGAATATTTCAGAGAAACTGATTTTAAAGATTCCTTCCCTTTTATCTGAAAAGAAAAAGATGGTCATGAATCCAGGACAGCAAATTACTTTTAATAAAGATAAATAAACGTATAGAAGGGTGTTTCCTATAACTATGAGATCAATGAGCATTTCCACCTACAAGTCACACCCCACCAGTTCAACAAACTGCTTTAAGCTTTAACTCACCACAGCAAATGACCCTACATCTTCACAGGTAAACCACTTGTGGCACAGGCGAATGTAATAATCTTGATCCTGAAGAAAGTTGGATACATTCACTGATATAATTTTCCTTGCCCTGTCTACATTGTAATCAAACTTTCCAGCTGAAAAAGAAAATTCAAGCATGAAATTATCACGTTTCTTTATTACTTTGCTATTTCTGATGTTATTTCTTTATAAAGCGTATAGAAATATTTCATAACTTGATGGAGACGAAATTCAACATATGTAGATTCTTACCTAGGATGTTTGAATTAATTCTTTTTATATCCTGATATTCCTACAGGCATTCTTATTTTATCAGACAATAATTTTTATAAGAATAAATTTCAATATTATTCAGTTTTAAATTAGCACTAGCAATATTGAGAGGCCAGGACACCTACCGATTTTACCTCAACCTTAGTACTTGAAATGTTATGTGCGTCATGTACAAATACTTGAAATATGCACAAGAATACTACTACAAAAGCTGATATCCTAAGGTTCCAATTTCATTACACAGAGAATATGTGCAACCATATTAGACAAATACAATATGAGGGGAGGTGTTTTATTTTTTTTTATTTCCATGGATATGCCAAAATCAGGATAACAGTTTGGGAAATTAATTTCAATCTATATATGAGGTCTGTCTATAGATGAAATATAAATCCAGCCATCCAAAGTGCATGAAAAGGACACAAACCTATTTCCAATAGTCTAAATATTAAGTAGGTTGTCAATATCTTTATCTGCTGTCTAGCATTTCCAAGTCAATATTAAGAACCACATTTTCCAGGACATTATCTGTCAACTACATGGTAATTATAAGTAGTGGTAGTTGTAAATCACCTTTTTTTCCCTGCTTATTCAGCTATGAAAACATAACATTGTATAAGTCACCAGAAATATATTACAGCTTTAAGTTTTGTAGATCAGCTCACCTGAACAAGCTGAAATATATTTTCCCACATCACTGTTCCTGCAATCTGCAAAATAGAAGCCAGAGTTTTCTTCAGTGCTGCTTTATTTGTATAACTGTGTAAATAAACTGCCAAATTTTCCAATAGCTTCCCAACAGGAAACCTATCTCTTATACTCCTTTTTAAAGGCAGAATTACATCAACCTCTAGATAAACAGCAAAAAAGAAAAGTACCTTTACCACACAGAGAGATTATATTACAACTTGCCTTAAGGAGCTATCTCACCAGTGTGGGGTTTCTACTTGAAAACCTCATCAGCAGTTTAAGGTGGCAATCTAGGATATAGCACTGCACTTCTTTACCTAGTACCAAACAATAATTTAAGTAATAATAACAATAATTCCAGTTATTCTTTCCTTGAAAGCTACTCCTGTTTTTTACTAGGCTTATTCCTCTGTTATAAACAACTGTGAATTTTTGCTATTCTGACTCTAGGCTTACAAAGAAACACCCTATTAACTCCCAGGGAGCTTACCGGAATTGAAGCCAGACAACACTTTCAGAACTAATATCTAATGTTTGTATCTCCAAAACTTAAATCTTGGTATAAGAACACTAAATCAGCTCATAATGTGCTGCCTACTTTTTTCACATCTCCTTGCTTAACTCAGTATTAAAGCAGCGCTTTGCTCTCATTTCCCCACACAGCTCTTTTCCCCAGAGAAATACTTCCTATTGCCGTTTGTTTACTCACCCTTGTAAAATGTCTTAAAACTGGGCTTTACAAAACCTTATTTTCCCCCCTCTTTTTTCACAAATACATATTTACTTCAATAATGAACAAGGATTTACCAAGAAAATTGAAGGCTGTTCAAATGCAAACAAGTCTTTACTTATGTGAAAGCATGAAACAACCACAATGTGTCTGATACTGTGTGCAAGGGATGATACCGTACCAAGGGGCAAGGGCAAGAGCCACCCACCCACAGGCTCTGGAGATGGGAAGGCAGGACAATCCCGGGCACTGGGTCGAACAAGGGGTCTCATTTCATTTTTTGCACAATCATTTGATGCACTTGTCTCCACTAGCCACACTATATCATGGTTGGACCACAGCGCTGAATCTGGTTTTACATGCATACAAGCAGGCATTTTACCGCAAAACCATGGAAAAATGCTACCTTATTTTACCCAGGTACATGAAAACAGGCAATAGACTAGCTAGCTAATTAAAGGAAAAAGAAATTTCGTTACACTTTCTTATTAAGCTTTCCTCAATCTCTGAAACCGCCTGTGGCCTAACTATGAAGAGAAGCAGAGGCTCCAGCTTATGCACAGAAAGCACGCAGGACTGAACCTGCAGGCCGAGAAAGAGCACATGCCAATCGCAAGAAGGCCTATTAGGACAAATGCATAGTGTCATTCAGTTTTCCATGTACTTCTAGATATAAACTCTGGTCTTTGGTTTTTATAGCTAGTCATATGTTTATACGCACAAAATAGATCTTCAAAATGTAGAATAAGACTGGTCCTGGCGTACATGTTCTACCATGAGCTAGACCAGTGTATCCCAGAACATGATTTGGCTTTGTATTTGGGGTTTTTTGTGTTGATTTGGGGTTTTTCTTTGAAAAGATGTTTCTTGAAAAACATCTGGTTTAAGATGTTTTCCTACCTTCAACATAGTATTCCTGACTCAGCTTGACTTCACAGTAATTTGGTACTGTTTTCATGGTCACATAGATGTGTTGTGCTACATTGACTTCAATGCAATTGAATTGTACCTGTACCTGTTTAAAACATTTATAAAATCAAGTTTGTGCATGACTTCCAGAATACATGAAAACCACTGGTTATCAGAGTTAATCAAGCAATATTCTTCATTCAGATTTATTTATATTTACAAGGAACATTAAGCAGTCTCAGATATTGTAGCATTAAGAACATAAAGAAGCAGATACCACTTAATGAAAGGATTTCAAAGAGTATCATTACTTCTAATCCAGGATGTTACTATCTTCTTCCCTTCCAGAAATCTGAATATCTACAAGTAATCAAATAATCCTAAAAGTAGAGAAATACAGGTACCTGATGCTTATTCAACTTCAAAAGCAAAAAGGTCTTTCATACTACCAAAAGCCCCAGTTTGTAGGCATTTTACAAGCAAAACCACTTGCAGAACAGGAAAAAAATGTCTGTTTAAATATTTAATGGCAACTTCATCAAATTTATTTATTTTAGTAACAGCTGGGGAGAGAGAAAGTAATTTAGGAGACAAGAGTTGAGCTCCAGTTATATCAGGTTCATTCCCTCACTAACAGCAGTAACTGATAAATTCGATGTAGATCTTCACTTAGGATATACTCCTATTTGGTACAATGCATTTGGAGGGTAAAAGCCATGTCACCATTCTAGTCATTGAACTGAAACTAAGAAAATTTCATTAAATATATTTGTTCAGTCTTGCCTATAAATATACCTTACTCTAAAAGCTACCAGTTGTTCATTGCTGGCCCTGCATTGCCTATAGAGACATTGGATCATCTAGTGATACAGACTGCAAATGGCGATTGCAGTTTGGGAGAACTTCGTTTCACACGTGCAATCAATGTAACATTTACAAAGCACATGAAGTAACACATTTTGTATGGGATTAATAACAGTTATCCACCAGTAATTGAAAGCAAAAAATTCATGTCTTTCAAACCATTGCTCAAGGATGGTTCCTTTTTTTTTTTTTTTTCCCCAGTCGCAAATTTTAATAACAAATACTTCTCGGTTTAGTTTAGTAAGAAATTGTACTCTGCTGTTGCAATTATTACCATGAGTTTAGCACAGATGTGCACAAGTGCTTAGGCACTTGTCTGTCTTCTAGATGCGTAAATTCCATTGACATGGTGTAAATTGATATTGAGTAAATCATATGTATGCACTTAAAATCCTTGTGGCATTGTGCTTCCTAGCAATTGGAGTTACAAAGTCTTCCCCACAATTTGGTGGGCACAAAAAGAAAGCTAGCAAGGTTGATATGAAAATTAGACTTTGCAGAGGCAGCTTCTCTTGCAAAAAGGTAAGTGGAATAAGTATGAAGATGGTGGAGAATTGAATTTATAAGTTATAAAAGGACATTTTGTTATGGAGTTTCATTTGACAATGCTGAAGCATACATTTCACTGCAGTTTTCCGCGAAGTCAATAAGAGCAGAAAATGAAAGATACAAAATAGATTATTTTTTCCAAAGGCTCATAAACATTTAAATGAAAAACAACCCCCCAAAAATTCTACCTTCTTTCCATTAAGCATCTTGCTCTTTTTCCTAGCAAATCTCACATTTGTGCACTGAGATTGCTGTGTGTCCAGTGAAAGAGAACATATTTCCAGCCCACGGATATTCTCTGAAATAAGTTAGGAATAGATTTCAAAAATATAATTTGAACATCTTTAAGAAAAACAAAAAATAAATTAAAATGTACCATAACGTAAGCTTTCTGTCTAAGCGAAAAGCATATGTACTTTATCTCTGTTAAAAAAGGACCATTATATGAAACACACACATGGAGGTAGGAGTAAGGATTTCATACAGATTGCAATAAATTAAAGCTTTAATTATGCAAATTCTTAAAAAATTAAATCTATTAACTTTGAGTGAAGCACACTAGGAAATATCAAAATGGTAACACACTAAGCACGCGAATGGCAGAGTGTTAGTAAAGATGGACTATGACCAAAAAGTTTGAGTGCTTTCATTTTATTTTAGTTCAGAATTGTAACTGCAGATGCATAAAGTGTTTTCTCCTTCTCTTAGGGCAGTTGCTCATGTCTGAGTTACCAGGGCACACAAAATTAGTGTGTGTGTGTGCATGTACATGTGTCAGAGCAAGAGAGAAAAGGGCAGCAGTATGCTTGGGGCACTGGTAGAGGACAAGTTAAGTGTATTATGCTGGATGTAAAAATTCAGTTGTCTTGAATTCATTATCTCAGTTCTCATTCCCTTGAGAAGGGCCACGGCTTTATCTTGGCTTGTAGTAAAATGGTTTCACAAAAAATATCTTTCTGATGTAATGAAAACAACTTGTACACAAATACTGCAATATGGAACAAAATTTGGCTGAACAACTGTAAACAAAAAGTAAACAGAAAAGATTCAGTAGCAAATCTGCTTCCTACCATCTAGACTCAGGGTTCCTTTAATGTTTAAATGAAGAGAGCATGGGCTTCCTTGGACACATTTCATCACTGTTGAGATCTTCATGCTTTTCAGTACCATAGAAGGTAGAGATGCAGGAGCATCATGGCAGAAGCTGTTGAAAATGCCACCTGCAAATGCAAATACAAAGAAATCTCATTATGCACAGGATATCTGGGGGAGAGAAGGCACCAAAGATGAAGCTCCAGCTCTACTGAAATCAGTAGGAAAGACACCACTGACTTCAGCAAAGCCAGTACTTTACCTAAGATCTTCACATGGCCAGCATAGCTAGTTGGCTTCACTAGTAATGCAGGGAGGGTTGGAAAGAACTACATTACAGATGGGGTTTGATAATAAATTTCCTGGCTTAAGGAAGTGTTAACCCACAAAAGGAAGGAAACACACTTCTAACAGTTAAGGCTAGCAGAGCACACCTAGACTAATAGTGTTTCTAAATAAACAGATCTGCTAGATTGTGGCTAGACTTTATTTAAACTTTTTTCAAAACCATTACCTGTATATTGTGAGCTCTTATAGGTAGTATTGTAATTTTGGGATGGTCTAAACTGCTGTTGAAATATCACTTTCACACAAGAGGGCACCATTGCATTCCTAGTGATCGAAAAAGCCCTCACACCTACAGGATTTCCTTCTGCTTTAGACCAGAACACCAAAAGCAGACTATCCAGACCTTCTTCAAGGTGTAAACAGTAGGCACAGAACACAGCTACTATGTCTCATTTTACTATGGAAATTTAGTTATCCCAAAGACTTAGGACATTGGTTTGCACAGCCGCCTTCTTTAGGCTAATGTAAAAGAAAAAAATAGTCTTAGGCCCCAAGCCTCATCAGGTAGCCATATTTCATCTCTTTCTACTCCTTAGACTGCTCTACATAGAAAACAGTTATTTATTTATTAATTTATGTTGGTACGGTGGATTTAATCCCCAATGAATTCCTGTGGCTTCTCTACCTCACATACGTTGTTTGTAGTCCCAAAAATGAAGAGTTCAAGAAACTATCAGAACAAATAGCCAGGGAATTGGGTTTTGTCCCTTGGCTTTGTGGTATACAATGCAGCACACCTCATTTTAGCTGTAACTACATCACAGCAACTTCTTTGAAAAATTTGTTAGCCTTCTCACTTTGGTATATAGCATGAAAGTTAAAAGACACCCAAGTAAAAAAAGTGGTTTACTGCACATTCTCCTCCCCCTGGGGAGAGGCTGGAAGAACAAAAAAACATTTGACTCTATTAGTCATACTGCCTGACATACTCCTAGAAGGAGTTCAACTAGTATGGCAAAGAGCACAGAATGAAGCAGCAGTGCCATGATAGTGTGTTTGCCATAAAATACAGGTTAACACTCTTAAATCATCAGGAACAGGTGCATCCCTCAATGTCTAGCCAAGAATTGTTGTCAAGTGTGGATGCCCATTGACTCACATGGAAGGTATAGCCACAGTTCTCACAGAGGAAAGGCAGGATGTGGAGGAGGAGGAAGGGCAGAGCTTATCCTTACTTACCCCTCCAACCCTTCCAATAAAGGAAAGTGCTCTAAATTTAAAGACTGAAAGTGTATTAACCTGTACAGGACGTCTTACTATATTATGAGATCCTCACTTTCAGTGTCCAGTTGCAGCTGAAGCCCATTGTCAAGGATCAGACACTGACACAGGCAGGACATGAAGAAAGGCTGACGTAAATGTGGTACCTTGGCTTGAATCTGTCAGGTTTAAGGTGCCCTCACACTTAGTATCAGGAGAAACAAGTTCTGCATGATACATATCAAAAGTCAGAAAAGACAAATGCTTCGCACCTGAATCTCCATTATCCTGGTTTTGTGCCATTAAGCAGCTTTTGGAGGCAACAGGATATGCTCCAAGGAGGCAACAGAATATGAACCAAGTGGAAAAGAACGGAAAAACAAGGACACTTTACCTCAACTGACAGCAGAGTCAACTCTCAAATATCCAAGGTAATATTGGCAAGAAAAGAAGATAATTTGTGCAAACCAAAGAAAAAACACAGATCGTTCAAAATACACAAATTAGCCTCTAAGAGCAGTGGAGTACATTGACTTTTGAAGAACTTGTAAACATGTTTCCACAGAGATGAGGCAGTCTTAAGAACTACAGTGGACAGCAGCCAGATTTGAACACTATATTCCATGTTCCAAGAATGGGTGGTGTAATAAGCCTGAAGGTATCTCAGGATGGAGAGCTATTGTACAACACCAAATCAATCCACCCACAGTTAATTGGGAGGCTATTATATTGCAGAATCACCTAATAATTATTACTAATAATGTGAGGATTATTAGTTTTAGCTCTGTCTCTTTGCTCAGAAAGATATTTTCTTGACTGCGTCATATGACATGCAGTTGTGGATACCAAATGGTACCCAGGAGCAACTGTTTCTGCTTAATCCCTTGGTTGTTCATGTAAACTTCTTGATCCAGGCCTATAATCTTGCCCATTCCCATGTCTGTTTAGAAATTATTTAAGAGAAGAGCAATGTACATACACATTGTCAAAGCTGACATTTCTTTACAAAGTATTCTGTTTGGGTGAATTTGACCATATTATTTGACCCTACTTATCTTTAGGAGAGACTATCATGAATTAATTGAATTTGGTCCTTAGTTATTACTGCCTGAGGTATGGTATTATCAGGAGTCACAGGCTTGGAACTATCTCAGAAGAATTCTCAGTCATACCTAGGTGCATTACTGACATTGGATCAGTACCAGGCAGATGTACAAACACAGTTTTAGGGACCACTGACTGTCCGTAAGCAGGGACACTGTACTCCTTGATCACAGTTTCTACCTTCAAACTGAGAACAAATAAGTAATACACTGGGTGATACGAAATTACTCTTCTACTTTGGATTTTTTCCCATTCATTTTATGATACATTTTGAGAATTGCAAAAGATGCTGCAAGACTCAATAATTTAAATGTCTCATATCATGCATGAGGATATTAGTTTTGGATCACAATAAATATATGATACAAGGAAGAGCTGACAGAAAATAATTTTCATTCTATAAATTATCACAGTATGAAGACTCATTTCTGACTAAATCTTCAGTAAACTCTTACCTTATCATCTTTTAATCCCCCCCTTAGATAGTTTCCTCTGGTACACACACTTCTTTCCTTTTCTCACGAGTAGTTTGATCTACATCCCAGAAGACATAAAGATACGTCTTGCTACACAAACCATCTGCTGAGTAAATCTTGCCTAAATTTTATGTTTATGAATTATAACTGTAATTAGCTCTACATGAGAGAGGGATTGTTGCTGTAATAAAGGATTCCTTAATTATGGACACATATAAGCCCAGGCATAAAGAAGCCAAGGCTTATTATTCAGCATGTAGACACTTTCCCTGTACTTTTGCCATCAGCTCAACCACAGCAGATTATTTTTTTATCTGATGATGCAGCAATCAACCCAGAACTGTCACAACAGCAAAACACACCTTATGCACACTTGGATAATAGAAGCCAGAGCTGAGCAATGAATACGCAACAGAAATGATTAGATGGATAATCTGAAGCCTCAGGCAAGAAGATGAAATAGGAGAACAGCAAAAAAAAAGTGCAGAGAAAACCCATTAGTAACAGGTCCAGGCCAACACCCCATAGAAAATCCTAACTGGTTTTTTGACTGGTATTTCTTCCCTACAAAAATTATAAGAATTTGAAACGCTTAGGATACTGACAGTGTTAAATCTGTGAGCATATCTAAAGCACACTAATATTGCTTCACTGGAACATCACTCCGTAAGTATAAATTACAGTAGTTCAAACATATTTGCATACGATTTACCACAGTATCTGCTGCATCTGTGCATTAGGATGATTCAACAAAATTCATAAACGAATTAGATATGCTTTCCTAAGATAACCACCACTGGCACTTCAGTTAATAAATACCAAAATTCACTACTTAAAAGTACTTACACCAATTATGAAATTGATTGCGTTTCAGACTGACAGGCTCTCCTTCACAATAGATTTCAATGCACAGTAAATTAGAAGGGTTTCACAGTTATATGTTCAGAAAATACTTCAAACTTTCAAGGATATTGGACAACATGGTGATTTACCGTGACAAATATCGTTTCTGGGAACATAAAGCTTTTTAAAAATCATTGATATATTGATATCGATGTCTGGATATATTACAGCAAATTTAAAATATTATAGTAGCCTTTAGGTACTACTAGTAGTCTAGAAGAGCAGGAAGGAGAAGACAGAGTCAAAGCTATGTTGTCAAATACTGCTGAGTTGATAGCTGCAAATTCTAGGAAATAAAGTCATATTTTGTTGCAGTTAAAAGCAGTAACTACTGCAAAGGTGCTCTATTATACAGTTAAAGTCTTTTAAGGTAATTTTACATCAAATAATAAATAATAAAAAGCAATAAAGCAATAACTATAGAAAAGGAAGTATGAAAATGAGCATACACCCACTGTTGCACAAGTGAATTAGGATGAAGACTGAAAAAGTGTTTTTTCAACACCCCTATAAGGCTGAGTCATCCTACACATTACTTGTATTAAAGATAGTTGATAAGTCATTTTCAGGCAGCACTGAAAACCTACAACCAGCTCTGCTTCATATACATCATCTTGGAAGATAAGGATCTTTAGTTTACACACTCTTCAGTGCCCGAAGTTGATATCCAGCTAAGAGCTAAACAGCTAGTTTAAGCTTAATTGTGTCACCTAAGCACCTCTGGCAGTCAACAGAGAGGGAGAACCCCTCTTGCCTCCCTTCCAGCACATAAATCACCTTGTCCTAAAATGGGTGGAATGAATCACTATCTCGTGGTACCTGTAGTGAGTCTCCGTTATCTAGACATGCATTTGTGTAACACCCAGCACAGATTTTAACTCATAACGAACAGTATCGTGGGTGTCCTTCCATTTGAAACCAGGGCTGAAGGGTTTGGTTTCCTCAGCCTATGGTGCCTGAGGGAATGAAGGCATGCTTCAGCTAGGCAGAGCAAGGGTCAATGCCCCTGTTTCTTCTTCTACCTCCCACGTGGTTTGAACTAACAGCTCAGCTGCCTAATCCTAAAAAGATTCATTCATAGTCCTTGAACCAGCCACCAATGGTTCACTCTGCTCACCAGCAGACACCTAGAGACTTTTTCAGGTGGGACTTTTAACTGCATCCCTTCCACAGCCGTGTTTTTTCTCTCCACCTCAACATGTGTCCCATAAATGCCAGCTTTCAGAATAGGACCCATGACAGCTGATGTTCAGTTCACACCCCATGCCATAGCCTCAGCATCTCACATGCTTGAGGCTCAGCATCGCAGCTTTTGACTGTCTGTGGACTTTGTGCCACACAGGTCCAGGAAAGGCACCATGGAGACAAGCAGTGCTCAGAGCTGGGCCTCCAGCTAGGACTGTCCTCTCAGAGGGGACTGCCTGCAAGACATTTGCCTCATACTTCCTTGTCAAGTGACTGCGTGCACTGGAGAGTGATTGATGGAGGCTTCAGAGTTCAGGTAAATGAAGAGCCTGTATTATTAGTGTAGGTAATAACAATAAGTAGAAGCAATAAAAACATGTGAAATGACTAAGCAAATTCTCCCAGTGACCATCTATGGTAAGGAAAATTATAAAGCAACAATGCACAGTCAGTATTAACCTATTGTTTATCAGCACCTACCAATTTCCAATGTTTTGTACAAGGAAACTGGTGGTAAAAACCCTGTCATGACAGTGATCTGATATCACCAGGAAAGTGGATTTATTATCTGCAAATAAATTATCTTTATCCTTAAAAAACAAATGTAGTAAAAATGTAAATGATATATACTCACTGGAAGGTTTGCTTTTACAATGAATCCCCTGCAAACAGAAATAAAAATATTATAAAAGCTGAAGTAACAATAAAAATAAATGTTGCTTAATCATTGTACACAAATATAAACATACCTTAAACAGGTAAACATATTCACAGTCCATAACAGAAATCATTTTCAAGATAAAGTATTTTCAAATATAGTGAAAACGCACATCACTACTGCATATGACAGCCTGATATGTATGGGGACGCAAGATCAGCATTATCCTTATTTTCATGTATTTCTACTGAGGTGTAATTGTCATAACAAGTGTAACAGTTCCATCAAATACAGACATCTTTTTACCAGGTACTGCCATTCACACTGAGCAATAGCTAATTTATTATTTTGTCAGACTTTACAATGGACTGTTTCATACCAGGGCAAAGAAACCAAGTGATTTTTTAATGGAAGATATCTGAAACACTGTTATATGTTATATGATTTTTAGAAAATCACACTAGGCCAATGGAAGGAAGTATTACGGTAATTGCAAATGAAGTTTAGAAATAAGGCTTGCCTTTTTATTTCTGAGAACTATCTGGCTCAGAATCCTGAAAATTAAATTACTCAGGCACAGTATTTACCATGTTCAAGTGGAAAAATGTTTTTATAAGAGGCAAAGTGAACCTGACTCTGGGATTTTAACAGGTTTCGAGCAATCTTTCAGACAGACTACACCCATTTTCCCAGTAAAGTAAACACTTAACCACACACTAAAATTCTGTAGAGTATAAAAATAACAAATCATATCTTGACTACTATGCATGACATTCTAAAGAAAGGCTATCACTTAGCCAGCAAATACTGTTTTCTGCTGTTCTGCCATTCACGTTTCTGGCATAGCACTTATACCAGTATTCCTTTGTATATGGCATATGTTCCCCTCTGCTTTCCTTGACAATCAGTGTCTCATTCACAGAGACACTTTTGTCACACCCACAAAACAAGCAGGCACCACCTCATCTCCTCTGGTCTCAAATCCACTGGTAGCTCTCAGTCCTTTTAAAACATTTTAGGATCTTGTCAATAAGCCAACAATCTGCGAGTTTTAGAGCAAGCAAAACTCTCTCAGTGGACATGGGGAAGTTCTCAAGTTGTAGACAAACACAGACACTGAAGCATTAATACATCATAAAATAACTGTCACTTGGTCTTCAATGAGGCTTCGTCCACAGGTAACTCTGTCCTCATAAACACAGCTGTAGAGCAAATAATATTAATTCTGCAGAAGTGAAATTACAGCATGTTAGCTACCCTGTGGCAGCTGCCTAGAGTACCCAAGAAGTGTGTTGTCTGTCTTCATCGCTGTTTAAGTTTTTAGCCAAATAAGCTTGGTTTCAAAGAATGCCTTTAGAAAACCAGTGACCAGAATCTAACCAGTATTAGTTCTCATTCCTTTGTCCTTTCAGCACTTCTATTTTTAATAATCACTTCTGGAGATAAGTTGTCATCTTTTACCATTGGGAGTTTGTCACTGTTACTCATGAAAGTGCAGATGCAAAAAAGGTGGTATTTTAAACCACTTTTTATAATAAGACAGAGATGGTCATATACTTTCATAGACTGAAGATCATAAAAATTACTTGTGACACTGTTAAAGGTATTACTTTGACTGCTTCTACACAACACTACATCAACACTCAGAGAAGTAGGGCCTGTTGCAATAGGACAAGGAGTAATGGTTTTAAACTAAAAGAGGGTAGATCTAGATTGGACATGAGGAAGACATTTTTTACGATGAGGGTGGTGAGACACTGGAACAGGTTGCCCAGAAAGGTGGTAAATGCCCCATCCCAGGAAACATTCAAGGTCAGGTTGGATGGGGCTCTGAGCAACCTGATCTGGTTGAAGATGTCCCTGCTTACTGCAGAGGGGTTGGTCTAGAAGGTCCTTTCCAACCCAAACTTTTCTATGATTCCATAAAGGAAATCAAACTTCTTTACATTACTGTTCTAAAACTGGTGTACTTCTATTTCAATGGTTTCATAAATTCCCCAAATGCCCCTGAAGGATTGAAAAATGTAACTGATGCAACATCATTTTTGCTGTAACGTGTTCATAGAAATATTGATCATTTATGAATTATTTCTGCCCCCCCAAAAAAAAGCTTCATTGGTAGTTTGCTGATTCTCCCAAAGCAATTCATCAATAGAAACAAGATTATAGCTTTCTGAATAATTCAGTGCAACATTAAACCGATAAATCTGGGACATGCCAGCTCCTATGAAACTACTGGAATTTTAACTGCTGTTTCAAAGCCCTAATTTTGAATTATTTCTAATTAAACCCTGCAGGAGTATGCAGAAGGACAATTTGAATTCAGTCCCTTTACTTGAGGTTCTCCATGGCCTTAGGGAGTCAATAGACAAATATACACAATGACTGCAAAAAATCGAGTGAGTTAGGGAGCTACTTTCTAGCTTCCTAGAAAACCTAGCTGTTGGATCAACTAATTGCTGAGCCTCTTCTTACTGGAAGAAATTAATCTCTCATGAAGCTGATAATTTAGCAAATTCTTTCATATTTTTAACTTCCCATTTTGCAGCCAGACTGTTTAAAATATTTTGGTTAGGTGGCTTGAGAGAGTTCCCAATTGCCAGTCAAAATTTCTTAGAACATCATCTTTAAACTAACTTATCTAACCATTCTTTCTGATTACAATCATGGTGCAAAAATACATTAGGGAAAAAATCAAGATCCCATTGGAAATAAACAACAAAAATCTCATAAAACTCAGAGGATTCAGCATTATACATAAAGAAGGACAGTGTTTTGGAGCCCCTGTTATGACACCTGAAAAATGCAAACATTATGTAAATAAATTATTTTATGTTACAAACATGAAAAAAACCCCACCCACTTCTTTGGGGCTGTGGGACAATGCAGAAATCCTCTTATACCTTCTACTCTATTCTAATTAATTCTTATTTTTCATATTGCTCAGGTGAATCCTGCCATCTGAGCACTTTCCGGTACCATCTTGCATTTATTTTCTCATCTTCTCCACCAGAAAAAAAGAAACATATCCATCAGTGATTTTTGTTCTGGTGGGAAGATGTTTTTTCAGTCTTGGGCACTTGGTTTTGTACTGGCTGAGGAGTTGTTGGAAAGGTTTACATAAATAATCAAATGTTTGTACAAATGCTTGCCAGATACAGCGAACATTTGGTCACAGCTCAATTCCTGGTTTTTATTGTACAATACCAAGGGGGGGGGGAGGGCTGTATTTTCTTTTATAATCGTTTTGCAAAATAGTCAAAAGAGACCATTTGTCCCAAAGAAGAAGTCAAATAAATTAACCAAGTTCCTCTGCCACTTTCTATATCTTTTGTTTTCAGGAATTTTCAGTGATGAATGCAATAGAAAAACATAACACATGAAAACCAAAATGGAAATTTTCTTTCCCTTTCACAAGCACCATGGGTGTCTTTCATGCAAAACTAAGATCCTGAACATGATAGTACATTTTACTCCTATGCAGAGAGCATCTTTGATTCATATCTGCTTTGGCAAAGAGCCTAAGCAAAATATACTTACACAATGCACAAACAGTTAGGGAATTTCCTATTTCTCTAGGGTTTTCCCCATTTGTGGTATTACTCAACTGTAGCTAGAGGTTATCTGAACAGACACCACCAACATGCAGCATTCTGAATAGAAGGTGTGGTGCCAACTTTTTAGCTAGCACAGCAACTTCTCCTCAGTCTAAGCCAATTGTAATGTCATATTGTTTTTTTAAACACTGTAGAGAAGAAAGTGAGATCAGCAGAGGAAGACTCAGATTTGGGGGCACAGAGAGTATTTTCATGAATTAAAATTGCCAAGGAAAAGAAACAAAGATTAGACCTGCTTCCCGCTTCCTCTGAAATCTCCAGGCACTGAGTCAAGCACAGAACTGTAGAAATTCTTCCCTGTTCTGTCATGCAGGAAAAGAGCCTGAGGCAAATTTGGTTTCACAGTCTACCTGTTAGCTCTGTTGCACCTCGTTCACACAAGAGTTGATGGCAGCTCTTCCACAACTCCATAAGGAATAGTAATATGCCCGAAAATGCCTTAAATGTATTCTTTTACCAGGACCAGGTTGTCAGAGACTTAACCTTCATTTATTAAGGGTCTACATTAAAGCCAGTGAATGTAGAGTGAACAGTTTTCCCCCTTTTTGAGAGATCCTGTAGCAAAGCTAATACCTACATTCATACTTTGTCTTCAACTGTCAGAGAGGGAAGAGTAAACGGAACAGGATCATTTTTGGATGTTTCCCTCTATTTCAGCATTTTCTGTTCTTTGACCACCATTACAAGTAAGCATGAGACTGTACGTATTCTTAGAACACAGGGAAAGTGTGGTCTTGCAATAACGGATGCTCAAATTGTTGCCAAAAGGCTGATAAAGATGATTAATTTAATCATGTTCTTTTTGATTTACAGTAGAGGGGATGCTCTGTACAAACCCATCTTATTCTGCACAAAATTAGAAACGATCTCACAGATCACTGGGTGTAGTCCCCTGATAACCATGGGTACCACATCATCTAATCCCTTTCAAAAACTGGTGAAGCTTCATTTTAAAATCAGTCAGGCTTTCATGTGCAGTTCTCCAATAGCCAAGGCTATTCCAGAAACCCTGTTCTCTGCTGGGACCAGACCTTTTAATTTCTAACACAACCACAAAAATGGTTAGCCTGTATTGACTTCTGATTTTGCCCGTTATCTTTTCACTTAAATAGATGCTTTCCACCCTGGAATTTATTTTCCATTCATCTATAACCAGGAATGTACCTTTTCTCAGCTTTTTTTGCCACAATATAAAAGCCCAACTCTTTTATTCCTCTCTAATAAAACAGGCTTTCCTTCTTACCATCACCCTTCTCATCAGCTATTTCTACTTCAATGCATCTGTCCAAACGGAGTGACTAGAAACACACACAGTTCCGAAGACAGTTTCCCACTAGCGTTTATTTGGTGCCTTGTAAAGTGGTAATATTCTCTGAGTGAATTGGGA